TAAGAACCACCTGCAGTTCCTACTATCTCTGAAACAGCTGGAAGCAGGTGGTTCTTATGCTGATGAGGAGGTTGGGGGGTTTGGAGGGGCTAATAGAGTACAAGGAGACCGTACCCAGATGGGGAGAGAGAGTAAAAAAGGATAAGTAAACAAAGTGATTTCTGATAAGCTGTGAGACAGATAATTGCTAGCTGGGGTGCTAATGAGGATGTAAATGGTTGAAAATTTGTTGGATGTGCTGGGATCAGTCTTGAGAGAACAGGAACTAGGGGTGTGGGGGAAGGGAACAAACAAGGAAGAGGGTGCTCATGTTCTAAAACTGTTAAACTCAATGTTGAGTCCTCAAGGCTATAAGGTACCTAGCTAGAAAATGAGATGTTGCCCCTCCAGGTTGTGTTGACCCTCACTTGAGCACCGCAGTAGGCCTGAGACAGAATGTTGGCATGGGTACTTGGCGTAAGTGGCAGGCAACTAGAAGCTTGGGGTCACTTTGACGGACAGAGTATAGGTGTTGGGAAGTGGTCACGCAGCCTGCGTTTCATCTTCACAATGTACAGCAGACTGCATTGATAGCAGCTAGATTGAATGAATTGCAGGTAAATTGCTGGTTCACTTCAGGCATGTCTGGGTCTTGGACAATGAGGGTGTAAGTAAACAAGCAAGTGTTGCAACTTCTATGATTGCATGAGAAAGTGCTGTTGGGATGTGGAGAGGTGTTACAATTGGAAGAGGAGTGAATCAGCGTGTGCCTCAGAGGGAATGGTCCCTGCGGAATGCTGACAAGGGACGAAAGGGAAATGTGTCTGGTGATGGCATCCCACTGGAGATGACCGAAATGGTGGCTTACAATCCTTTGGGGATGTGGAGTCTGATAGGGTGGAATGTGAGGATCGGGGTACCCTATTGTTGTTGTGGGAGGGAAAGGAGGCAGTGTGGGCAGAACAGCAGGAAATGGGTCAGACACATCTGAAGTCCCTGTCAACCAGGGTAGTGGGGAATCCTTGGCTGAGGAAAATGGTAGACATTTCCGAAGCCCCCTGTGAAAGGTGGCATCATCAGAACAGATGCAATGGAGTCTGAGAAATAGTGATATGGTCAACAGCCTATCCCCAGAAATGGAAACAGGATGTCAAGGATGGGAGAGAAGGAATCAGAAATGGATCAGATAAGCTGAAAGCTGGGTGGAAGAAAAATTGATAAGTTTTTCCAATTCCAGGCAAAAAGAGGGAAGTAACACCGATTATCATCAATGCACCGGAGGAAGAGTTGTGGGGAGGGACCAGAGTATGGCTGCAACAAGGAATGTTCCCTGTAATCCACAAAAGTAACAGGCATAGCTGGGGCAATGCAGGCACCCATAGCCACACCTTTAACTCCTCTCACTTTCTTCAGGTTAAAGGAGAAGTTGGTCAAAGCGAGGACGATCTTGGCTAGGTGGAGGAGAGAGGTGGTGGATGTGGACAGTTCAAGTCTACTCTCATGGGCCTTTCCATGGATTGCCATCTTGCTGTGGTTAGACGTTTGGGTGTGTCGTTGATCCTGAGAGCCAAGCCATTAGGATTTTAAACTCTTGGCAGTGTCATCCATGACAGTATAGTTGGAGGTGAGGAACCAGACAAAGCACATTCTGAAAGAAGTATTCAATGGCAATTTAGAAAGATGATATTGATGTGTTAGGACAGCCGGTGCCAACAAAATGTCAGTTTTTAAATTACCTGTCAGAAATGTCCATTTTCCTTAAATGAGGATTCCCCTCCCCTGTAACTGTCAGGGTCCTCGGCCATCCCTGATCATTTCCCGCACTTCTGCCCTCATCCCTTCCCTCTCCTCTCACCATAACAATACAGTACTCCTGGTTCTCAATTTCCACCCCACCAGCATTCAAAAATCATAAGCCACTATTTCCACCACCACCACAACTCCTCCACCATTCCCATGTTAGCATTCCAAAGGGTCTTTTCCCTCTGGGACACACTGATCCGATCCTCAAAACCCAACACTTCCCCACAGAATCACTGCACCTTATCATGCAATCACAGAAGGTGCTACATTTGTCTGTTTACCTTTCCCCCCTCACTACCCAAGGCCCCAGATACACCTCCCAGTTAAAGCAGCTATTTACCTGCACTTCATTCAGTCTAGTCCGACTGTGTTCGCTGCCTACAACACAGGCTCCTCTATGCTGGGGAGATGAAATGCAGACTGAGTGATTGTTTTGCTGAATACCTACTCCCTGTCCATAAAAATGACTCTGAGCTTCCAGCTGCCTGCCACTTCAATTCACCACTATGTTCCCATGCCAACATGTGTCTTTCAGGCCCACTGCAATTCTCCAGCAAGGCTCAACACAAACAGGAGGGGTTATACCTCATCTTTCGGCTAGATCCTTTACAGCCTTCAGGGTTCAACATTGAGCTTAACAATTTCAGAACGTGAACATCCTCTTCTTTGTTTGTTCCCTTTCCCCATATCCCCTACGTCCTGTCCTATATGATTTGCTCCAAGCACAGCCAACCATTTTCTACCAAAGTGGTTAAACCTGAAGCACTATGTTAGTGTTTTCCCACCCCCATCCACCTCCTCTAACCAAACATAAAAGCACTGCATTGTGTTAAGGCAAGGTAAAAATTCTTTTTTTTTTAAGGTGTAAAAGGGCAGAGATGGCAGTTAGGGTGGTGGTATGCTCCTCCTATCAGATGTGGGAAATCAGGGAGCAGTCTAGTGACCCTGACAACTACATCTGCAGGAAGTGTGACCAGCTGCACCTCCTCATAGACCGCGTTGTTTGGTTGGAGAAGCAGCTGGACACACTGTGGTGCATACAGGGGCAGAAGAATAATAGATTATAGATTCAGGGAGGTGGTCACACCACAGATAGGTGGGTGACCGCCAGGAGAGGCAGGCAGGTAGTTCAGGAGTCTCCTGTGGCTGTTCCCTTTTCAAACAGGTACACCGTTTTGGATATTGCTGGGGGGATAGCCTCTCAGGCGATAGTATTACCAGTAGCCAGACCTGTAGCACCACACCTGGTTCTGCTATACAGCAGGGTGTGGCAAAGTCTAGGCAAGCGATAATAGGTGACTCGATAGTCAGGGGCACAGACAGGCATTTCTGT